ATATATATATATATATATATATATAACTACTAGACGATAAAAGAACTCAATGATATCAAACCTTGTAAACATGAATGTCCGAAGAAGATTTTGTCCCCCTGTTGAGCAAAAACAGCACAAGTGATAATTATTTCATCAAAACAATTCCAAACATAACTTTCTAAAACTTCTTTTCCAACAATCAAATTCATTTATGGTTTCTCCGACTTAGCAGCTTTACAAAGCATCTCAACCTCCCACAAATGTTTAATTCCTTGCACACGTTTGTCATATCACAATCATCACTCACCCATCTCGCTAAAACGTTTTTTCTAATAAATACACATTTGTAGAGTTGAGAAGTCAATAATAACAATAGAGTTCATATAATTAAAATTCCCAAACCCAAGCATCAAAGATATTTGGCTAATTGTAACTGCAACAAATAAATTTAAAAAATTTTCAAACTTTAAAATACGGTTTGTCGATCTACTAGGTATTTTATAAAAAGGAGCATAATACCGCGAAAGCCTACAGTGTCTCCTCCAGTAAAATCGGTAACAATTCTTAAAAAGGTAACTATTTTTAATCGCAGTTATTAGTTATTAGTAAAATAATCTGAATTTTGTAGCTGAAAATGCAAACTCTAAAGACTTTGAAGGAACCCGCAACGTTACTTCTCGATAGAAGAATAAATAAACAAATAAACATACAAATGTATTTACAATTCAAAACTCCTAATATATTCTTAATATCTGAAAAGAAGAATGCTAATGACGAAAATAGCAAAAATAGGATTAACCTGATTTGTTTGATTAACGAATAACCGCATTTAGCAAATAAATTAAAAGTCAAAGTTTTCAGGTTGGAAATAAAGATGGCGGTAGAGAAAGCAAGAGAAAAAATCAAACTTCTAAAGAAAGCAGGCATGAAAGCGAGACTTCTTTTGCGAGCTGTAAAATGCCATAAAACGTAATAAAACTTTCAAATGATAACTACCTACTGCTTCTTTTATGAATAAAATCGTACGAAAAAAGCAAAAGATGGAAAACTTGGAAATAACGCCAAATGTAACTCTGTTTTACTGAGCCAAAAAATTTTCTTGATATAGCTAAGTAGACGCTGATTGGTTAAACTAAGTACGAGGAAACCGCAAGCACATCACCTAAACAACATAATCCTCAAAGGAAAGCTTCCTGACACAAAAGAACGAAGAAACCAACGATGACCAAACCCATTAGCAAGAAATTTCGAATTAGGCGAAACAACCAAGAGGAAAAGCAGTTAACGCTTCGAAAGTATCGTCGGCTGCCTTAAGTGTTCTCTCAAACGTCATTACAAAGGCTGAACTTCTTTCCTTCAAACAGACATATGTGAGCCCTTGTTTTCGATAAAGCAACTAACAAAACAACCCATAGTCCCTCAAGGAACAAACCCCAATGCTAACTCGTCGCTTAATTCGACAGAACCCCCCTAAGTAGCGAAATGAACAATTCTATAGTCAACAAAGCAAATTAGTCGTTAATAACTCGAGAGCGCCCGTTAATCTAGAAAAATTTTGATGCTGTTCACAGTGGTAGCAACAGCGAATACCTGTTGCTTAGGCGAGTTCAATGAAAAGCAACTTCCCGTTTGCTGCCGCTAGTAAACAGTAGTAAGCTGAACGAACTCTCCAATTAGAGCTCAAATTTGTAAGGGCATACAATTATTGGGAAGTCTACTGCAGGATAAGCGTTTAAAACTTGAAACCTCTGACGCACACGTAAAAGCAAGTCAGTGCGGTCTAACAAAATAGAGCAATGACATTGACATTTAATGCCTATTTGCCATCTCATCGCGTTTCATCAAAAGTCTTTCTGATGCCTTTACGTTATTAAAAAAAAAAGAAAACACAAGAGGTAGTCAAAAAATGGTTTCTGAAAAACTATAATACACAGCAAAAGCAATAAATTTAGCACGGTGAATGAAACTAGAATAAGACTTCTCCAATCCGCTAGAACCAAAATGACGACTGATGGCATACAGTGAATTATATTAATAGAACAAATCATCGTTATCTTGTATCAAAAAATATTAGGTTATAAGTACTCGCGTCCTTAAACAAAAAGTGCTGATCTAACCTAAAAAATTTTTGTCCTACAATAAAACTCGCACCAAATGAGCAATAACTAAAAAATTCTTCTGCATTATAATTATGGATTTTCAGATCTTCACCCTACCCTATTATTTCCTTCCTTTTTAATGATAGCAATATTCTGAAAACTGGCTGTAACCAAACAAATAGTTTTAAGACAGCCCATCTTGTAGCAAACCGCTTGCAAAGAAAGCTGCAATAGTGACAACAGCTAAAACGTTGATAATCCAATGATGCATAAGCACAACTTCATGGTTGATAAGTTACAGCTCCTAATCTGCTTTGCTTTCCACTCTAATGAAAAATTTTCATTCCCGAGTAAGCCCTAAACGCCGTTAGCTGCTTCTCCATAATTATAATAAAATTGTTCTACTATACTTCAAAACAGATCTTCATTAGATTTTCACAGCTCTTCAACTAATCTCCATTTCAGATTACTGCCGCTGAAATATTATACGCTGATTCAAAATCATATTTTTAAAAACAGTAACTCAATTTTAAAAACATCATTGTGATACTTCTCCTGCGGAACAAAAACTGAAAATGAAAATAGTAGAGAAAAAAACCTAAAACTCAAAACTTCTAAATTTTAAGCGAAATAATAAACCATCAGGAAATCAGTAAACTCTTTTAAACTCATCTAGCACTTGTGGAAGAAAAACTGTAAAAAATAAAAAAAATAAAAGCAGACAACAACAAAAAATACATTTTTTAGAAAATAAATTTTGGATGCCATTTAAGCGCATTCCACAATCGAACCTGATAAAGAAGATGCTCGAAGAGTATTCAAGTTGTCGCTGATTCCAGCAGCCTTCTGTTGGAGTATCTGCTGCTGTTTTGTATTGGAAGTATCAACTCGTACCACCGTATTCTCATGGCTCAACGTTTTTGAAGCTAAGATTTTTTAATGATCATTTGGGCTCACATAAAGAAAAGTTTAAATAAACTTTAGTTAAAAAATTAGAAAAAATAATTTCCAATAATAAACCTGTAAATGTATGAAAAACAAAAAGGCTTTTCTCTTGAGAGAAAGCCCTAAGAGATAAATTAAGAAAGGTAAGTAACTAATTAGCACATTTCAAAACACCCAGTGCACTGAAAAAAAAAAAATTGAGTTTTCAGCATCACCCAATAACTCAACGAATGTGTAATGAAACGCAAAATAAAAGTAAAACTGTGATCCCGTATAGAGCAGCAAATGCCCACAAGGCGCTTTTCATCGTATCAGTAAGTGAATTAACAAAAGAAAACAAAATAAACTTCAAAATCAACAATACAAAGCAAACCACTAAATTTAAAAAAAATAAAAGAATTAACTTTGTCGAAAAGAAAAAAGATGACAAAGCTAAGTGAACCAAGAAGAATCAAGTGTTTTTGCCATCCATTGTAACTATTTTCACAGCAGAAATTGGCATCATCATTTTTGCATAAAATCCAAGCATGCAAAACTCCTTCAACTGTAATAAGCGTGCGGAGGCTGAAAAGATACATCCTTACACAAAAAACAGGCATCCCGGCCAAAATTTTCAAGAAACAAGACTTCTTCTAGCAATAAACAACTTCCCGTGCATACTTTTGTGCAATGCCAATTCTTCTGCGCTCCTTATAAAATTTAAAAATTGAGAATCAATAATGCAAAAATTACTGTTTTTGCCCTCCAAATGTTATTGAACAAGTAGGCAAAAGAGACACAAAAAAACATCAAAACAGTACCAGGGGCCAAACATGTTGGTTTATATAGTACATGCGTTTATTCCAAATTAAGATGACTACTACTGTTCCAATAAATACTTTCTGCTCAATGGCCATTTTCTTCAAAGCGTAGACACAGGTCTCATTCTAATTTTCACGAAATCATCTTCCAGACTACAATTTTAACTACTACAAACAAAAGCCCAATAAACAGTTGCTGTTGCCGCAGGTTGCTTTTACACTGAGTGGTAGAAAAGAACGAGGTTATACGTAAAAAAAAACTTCTTTTTTCATCAAAAAAACTTAATAATTTCCTCGACTCATATTAAAAAAATACTCAATCAAAACTCTTGTACCTTCAACACAATTATAATACAAAAACTTTGGCTAAAGATGTTTTGCTTCGCAGTTTTATCTTAAAATGACCCTTTCATCGAAAACTTATCTTAGCTATCTTTTTAGAACTTTTAAATGCTTAAGATCCACCAAACTCTCCCCCGTTACTCAAACGCACTTCCTCCTCTAAACATCTAACTTTCAATGACCTCCCATTCCTTATATGCTTACGTGTACCTGTGCTAGCAGCAAAACCCAGTTTCTCCAAAGCACCAACCTCCCAGTCCAGTCCTAAATTAGATCTTTCCAGTACTGCTACGTAAAGTTTTGGCATGCAGTAGTAAACTAGAACTGCAAAAAACCTGAGCAAGTTTTCATTACCTGACCAATGCATTACTTTCCAACGCTTGCTTTATCTGCTCGCGAATGAAAAAGAGATCGACAAGGAACTGAACGACACATTCAAGAAGCAAATGAACTACTAAGCGAAAAGACTTGCAGAGAACTGAACTAACGCATAAGGCCAAAAACGCAAAACATTTACATGCCTATAGCACTATGACCCCAGCACAAGTAAAAAAAAGCGTATTGAGAAACAAAAGAACATCAAGATTTAAATTTCTAGAAAGTAATTTGAACGTGCAGAAACTTTGATCAAACCGTAGAAAAAAGCAGGATATTCGAAAGACCTGATAATCATAAAGCAGAAGCAAGTTACTGACAAAAAAACTGCTTCAGCGTGACCACAATGAACTAAAAGATAACCCCTCCTCTCAACGTTTTTAGCGCATAACAGCTTCGTTATACACCTACTACTGACCCTTATCATGCTTACGTTAGAACTAACAAATATTTCACAAAAATCACTACACTACTTATTTAAACCTTGACCTCTGAAAACTGCTGCTCCATAATCATTTCTCTAATAAAAACACCTGCCAATCAAATATTCCAAAGACCGCTAAAGCAGCCGCATTTGGCAAAGAAAAACTCTAGCATCCTTTTTAGACAAAAGCTAATACTGCAGATTCAAAGCAGAAGGAAATAACAGCACAAGACAAACACACAAAATTCGCGCCTAAACACTAAACGTCCTCATAAGTTTCCTGGCAGTCTAATAAGATAGTTGATACCTCAGTGGTCACTAACTAAGTATACAGAAGTATCCGCTAGAGAACTGACCAACGTCCGAAGTACCCTTCATTCAGGGAGGAAAAAACCAAAATAGTATTTTAAGTAACTTCGTCAGCTGTAGATTTTGGCACGGGAAACTTAAACATGATACCACTTTAACTTTCGAAAATGATAAAACGTTAAAAGAAATAAAAGAAAAAAACACATGATCAAACACCTTGATGAATGAAGTTTTATTATACAGCCGTAATCAACAAGTGCCGCACTGAAAATTCTCCCAAGACCTCTCAAAAAACTCAAGTAATCTCAAGAAAACATGGTCAGAATTTCAACGATTCTAAATATCTGGTTTTTTACTTTATCCTCGCCTCAAATGCCTATGACACACTAAAATCCATAACAGTAAATTAATGTCTCTCAATTCGCACAAAAGCTAGTTCCATTTAGAGACTCCACCGATGAAAAAACGACAACACTACATTAAATCAAGAAGGACCTTACCACAATAGCAATAAACTTACTTACTGAAAAAGTAAAGCTTATCCACCCAAAACGCAAAAATCCCTTCAGATTCCTGAAGAGCATTCAACAATGATCGCACAATGCACAGCACGTGTTAGCCATCTATATGTAATGAGTAGCAGTTACGCTAAAAATAAAGATCCAATTGATCAAATGAAACTAAAGGAATTCCTACCTCGGAACTGAACGAACCGATTAGATCGAAAAAGTCAAAC